TTTGTGTGAATCTGCTTGATTTGCATTATCTATCTTTGTTCTTCTGTCCTTCCTGAGAGATTGTATTTAATACATTTTCTTAAAACTTTTTAGGTCGAGGAAGAGATGCTGATGCGCAAGTTCTACGAACTCATGACTGCTCATGAACAAACTAAAATTGTACGTTCAATATCTTAGCTACTTAGTACCTTCTAGAAAGAATAAAAAAGAAAATTGTCATCCTCTTTGAAGCTCTACTTTTAACCATTTCCAATACTTTTATAGTAGTTCAATACTTGCATTTACCTATACTAGCATCAGTTGCTTGAGATTTTTAACTCGTAGTTCTCTCTACAAGATGGACTTATCTTTGTTAGCTAAGTACGGATTATTTTCCAAAAAAGTCATGCTTTCCACCTACTCTTGAGAATATTAGTTTTTAGGCCAAATATACATAAATGACCCTAAATGTGTAAACATATAACCCCAATTGACCCTGAACTATTTGACCCGGCTATTTGTCATGATCGCCATCCAGTTCGATTTTGATAACATAGGAAATTAGTGGGTAACAGCTGTTAGTTAGTTAATTGACTAGCCTGACTCATAGATATATAGCTCCTACTATCCTATCTAATTTTCAAATCAATAATATTGATAAACTCTGTATGAGATAGCAATCATGAGCATTCAATACAATTGAGCATTTCTTTCTCGTTTGTTTTTCTGATAGCTCAGGTTTCCAAATATGGCAACAGTTTTGTGTACATCGACGCTTTTAATTAAACACTAAACTGGCTAGGCAGGGGATGGTTCAAATACAAAGACTCTTCCCATGCAAAGTGAGAATGAATCTTGTGCATTCATTTCCACATGTAATGGCTCAAAATGAGCCAAAAATGCACAAAATTCGACCAAAATCACGGTGGCAATTGCGTAAATATGTTGCACTTTTTCGTTACCGCGGAAAAGTGCAACAGAAACACGCAAAAGTGCAAGCAAAACATGCAAAAGTGCATTTCTTCGCACTTTGCACGGGAAGAGGTCTTTTTATTTGAACTCTTCCCGGCTAGGCAAATGGGGAAAACTGTTAGCAATTTTCAAGTGTATATAAGATTGGCTGTGCCAACCAAAAATACATTAGATGGTTTGATTTGATTTGGGTTTTGTTTTTAAATTTGCAATATGTTCTTTGTTGTTGCTACCTGTTTCATCATCCTTTGAAGTTTTCTCCACATGGTACATACAACATACCTAAGGACTAAATAGGGAACCTTAATTGGCGGTTTTTTTGTTAAAAACTGGGGTTCGGTTTTTTAGACATGTGCTCATTTTTTTGGATAAAATGTGCTCATTTTTAAGACAATTGATTAGTAACATATATTCTTCAATTTTTTATGAATACCAATTCAGCAACTATGATTATATTATTATCACGCCTCTTCTGTTTGATCTCTTATACCTTATGAATTCTGATGCCTCATCTTGATTCATATTACAGAAAGCAGCCAGTAGTGCTGATGAGCTGGAAAACAAACAGGAGTGTTCAAAGAACCTTAGTCTGTGTGACCAAGTGACCAACAATAAGCAGTAATGTTGAGACCCTGTGATTGTGGGTTTGGTGCGTTTCTGTTATTTTGGATCTCTACAATTTTTGTTCGGTGAGTGGTGTGAAGTGTCAACATTATAAACTGGCACCGGTCTATTTTTCTTACAAGAGATCAAACATGCATTGATAATATATATATATATATATATATATATATATATATATGTATGTGTGTGTGTGTGTGTGTGTGTGTGTATGTATATACATATATTGGCACCGGTCTATTTTTCTTAATGGCGGTTCTTTTAGTGATGGAGGAGAAACTGAATATCCCTCACGATCAATGACATTTATTGTTCCAGAAGCATTTGACAAATCTTGTTTAAATCTATATACATTCTTTGTAACTTGTATTTCGCAAAAGTTAGTTGTAAAAACCGGTCCGGTCCGGTCATTGACCTGGCCGAGTGACTGGGTCACGGGTCAACCCGGACCCGGCGGGTCAACTCGGTCAACGCCGGGAAAACCGGACAACATTTATAAAATTTTATACAGTAATACTTAACATATACTCCGTATTATTATAAAATTAAAATAAGTTGTTACACATAAAGATAATTAGTAAACATTGAAAAATATACATAATATTTTGAAAATGGTTTTAATCCTTTTAAAGTTGATAGTATTATTTGATATTTATTTTTGTAATTATCTAAAATGATTTTGAAATGGTTTTCTTTCTAGTATTGAAATAATTTATTTTTGTAATTATCTAATATTGAAATATATCACTTACATTTTTCTAAAAATAAATATGAACAAATCTACACTTATTACAAAATCATAGAAATAGTGTATGACTATGTTTCACTTATAGCAAGTGGGTGTTTTTAAAAACTTGCTAGGTCATAGTTACACAAGGGAAGTATCAGGATTCTCTAATACAGCTTTATGTATGTTGAAACACAACTTGGTGTCGTTATTCGCTAATTCGCTTGGAGAAAGGACGAATTGGCAGACCGCAGACCTGGGATCGATTCCCAGTCGCGCATTTCTCTGGAGTACCGGCCAATTTCTGGGATTTTTGGTTTTTCCGGTTATTTCTGGATCCGGGTCCAACGCGTGTTGTAACCGGTTTTCGGATTTTTCCGGGTTCTTGGCCTTTTACGGGTTGGGTAATAACCAGCACGCATTTCTAATCGGGTGGGCAGGTTCCGGATCAGACCGGGCGGTTCAGGTTGGGTCTTTAAACATAGGTAAATGTACGAAATACTTTGGTTAAGAGTTAAGATCTTATTATTTTGAATTTTGATCCTTCCATCAGTTCCATGGATCACTTTCAACTCATGGTACTGTGCAAGAATCAGATCGGGATAGGTTAGTTATTTGCGTCAAATCTGAACAGAATTCCTTCAGAATAGGTCGGCCCCTCCCCCATTTTCATTGAAAATTTCAGTATATTTTTAACGAGATACTCAGATCATTTCCAATTGAATACAGAAAAATAATTCACTAAACTATTTGTGTTTCTTTGTTATGAGGTAATAGTCATTTGTTGCAATTCTCATCTCTGGTCATCCAAAAATAGTTAGTCTGTTCTTTAGTTTAAGGGTACGGCGGTGTTACGGTGTAGTGTGTACACTCGACTCCCTTATCCCACCTAGTGGTGGACTCGGTTCGGGCCGGGGCCGGTTCGGGCCTTGAACCGGCCGGGCCTCGGTTCACGGATGGGAGGCCCGAAATCGGCCCGGATAACCCCGGGTCCAGTTCGGTTCGGGTCACTCGCCCGGTTCACGGGCCGGGCCGGGCCGCCGGGCCGGGCCGCCCGCCGGGCCGGGCTTTTTAATTTTTTTATTATATATTATATTATTAGAATAATTCTTATTACAATTACAATATATTATATTCTAATTCAAGTATATTTATTTCAAATAAGAAGTACAATTGAGAATTAGGATGAATTTAAAAAATGTAATACATTTTGTAATTTAATAGATAAACGAAAAGTCTAACAATTAACTACTTTTATAAAATGTATGAATGTGTATAAGTCTATATCAATGAGTATAAGTATATATAGTATATATAATGTGTAAATATATTATAAGTAATATATAATATAATGTATAACTATATATAGTATATATAATATAATGTGTAAAGAATTATAATATGAATGTGTATAAGTATATATTTATAAGTAGATAATTAATATATAAGTAGATATAATGATTATATAAATTATATATATGTAGAAAGAATTTGGAGAAGATGAAGAATGAAGATGATTGAATATGAGAGATTGAGAGAAAAGAGAATTTAGAGAGTAGGAAGAGTTGTAGAAGAAGAGGTGTAAAAAATGTATAGAAAATAGGAGTATAAATAGGTTTTTTTTTTGTATACCCCCACCCCACCCCCCTAAGAATTCAAGATCTCATACTCCGTATTGTGATTTGTGAGAGTAGTGTTAATATTGCGTACCAACTGGCAGCGATACACGCGGGCCCGTCCACATTTCCAGTCCTCAAAAGCCCGAAAATAAAAGAAGGCCCAAATGCCGAATTAGACCTTCACAGTTAACTAGGGGTGGGCATTTCGCTTTTCGGTTCGGTTTTCTTCGGTTTCGGTTCGGTTTCGGTTTAATCGGTTTGATAGAAAAATGTACCAAATACAAACCGATTAAGTTTCGATTTGGTTTCGGTTTGGTACGGTTCGGTTCGGTTTACCAAAGTATTAAGGTTTGGATTGAAATAAAAAAAAATTAACTCAAAATATGAACTAGCGATAGTAATGAACCAAATATAATGTTATATATAAATTTGCAAACAGTAACAAAACACATATGAACCAAAAATATATAAGCATGACACATTTGTAAGCAACAACAACGGGAATGAATCAAATTATATATATAAAGCCGAAACAAAAACAAAACTGGTGCTTGTAAGTAATGAACCAAATATATAGTAGTAGTAGATAATAAATTATAGTTATATACTACAATTGTTATAGTTGTGAATGTAAGTCTTGTAGTAAACTCTAGTACTTGACACTAAAATTAAAGAATTAAAGCTTCAAAAAGATTAACATCAATCAAATTAATGAGAGAAATCTTATATTTTAGTTTGGTTTAGTTTAGTGTAAGTTGGTTTTGATTTGTTATTTTAAAAAAATAAGAAATTATTTCATTTTTAGATTAGTTCGGTTTTATTCGGTTTTATGATTTCGGTTTGGTTTGGTTCGGTTTAATACGGATTGGGAGGAATACTACCAAACTCAAACCAAATTACAAATGATTCGGTTTCGGTTTGGTTTAATTCGGTTTGGTACGGTTTGGTTCGGTTAAACTGAACCGTTATGTCCACCCCTACGGTTAACTTTCACACGTCCTAGAGCAACGACCGCGGGCCCGTCCACATTTCCAGTCCTCAAAAGCCCGAAAATAAAACAAGGCCCAAATGCCGAATTAGACCTTCACAGTTAACTTTCACACGTCCGAAAGCAACGTCCGCAGGCTAGCATCGAGCATCGTCCGTTCATCCTCTTCGCTGCTCGAAGTCCAGGAGCCGCAACTCAGTCGGCTCGTCCTCTTCGTCAGTCGGTCACACTCACGACTCAAGCTGGTCAGACGTCGGCGCACGACGCCTCTATTCGCTAGCCGCTAGGTCTCTGCTCGACTGCTCCGTGCCTCTTCAGATTTGAGGTAGCTTGGTATACTTTTTATTTTCATCATTAGAATACAGGCTTTATTAACAGAACATAGGATTTCCACTTTTCGTAGAGGGATTTAATGGCTTTATTGTTATCCTTTCACTCTTTCAGGCTTTCAGCTTTATATTATTCTGGTTTTGTAAATTATAATAATATAATTAAATTGAGTTTACTTCTTGTCTTATTGAGACACTGGCCATTTTTAACACTTATTGTTAATGTGATTTTTGATTTGGTAGTTCTAATTTGTTATTTGTGATCATCTACATAATACATTAGCATCAATTTGATTGTTATTTTTTTGTTAATTTACTCATTATTTAGTATTAATTCAACATTCTCATTAGTCATTTAGTTGTTGTTACTATTACTAATATCTCACCTGTGTGATGTAAGGGTGGAATATTTTGTGTAAATATTAATCACAAGGAATACTTTTAAAGAATACACAATGAAAAAAACTAATAATATAAAATGTTATGTTATAAAAACTATTATGCACCTAAGAGTAATTTAGAAAAGTACAAAAACAAAGATACCGTTATAACAAATAAATTGTCAGTGCAATTCAATTTATATGCTATTAAATGGAAAGATGATATCAATTTTATAGTGAAAATGTGTTCTCTTTGATATAAAATGGAAAGATGATAGCAACGCTTTTCGTCTTGTAACCCCGGAAACATAATAGTGAAAATGTGTTTTCTTTGAACACTGAAACGAAAGATTATTACACATGTGTTCAATGCAATGCATATTCTCTAAATTCTCAAAGAAGATTGACAGCGAAAAAGTATAGTGCTTTTAACAATGTTAATTTTAAATAGCAAAAAAATATTGAGTGTTGATTTTTTCTTATAGTTTTCAAACAATTCTTTTGAAAAATGACTAGTGTTATCAATTTTTAAAAATTATATGTTTTTGAAAATGTATACGTCATACTTGTGCTTAGCATAGTTATATACTTATATTATCATCCGTATATAAAGGCAAAAACAATTTTTGTTATGAACTTTCTAGTTAACCTCTATCAACATATCAAAATGTATTTAGCTCATTTTGCTGCATTGATTTGGAAAACACTAACATATTACTTCATAATCCATATGATAATGTCCTGAAATACTATTATTCAACAAGACATGTACATTAATATCAGTTGATGAAAACCTGTACAAAACAGTTATAAATGTGTGGTGTTTTTTGTATTTGACTGTGACAAAAACTCTTATTTGTGCAGTATTTATTTTGTCTTTGACTTTTTTGTTGCAATACACGCCATTTTACACCTATTAAATTTTAGCCCCCAATGGATGCCCATATTCAGAAGCTGTTAAAATTGAAACTTGTCAGCTGTTTTGCCTTAATATTCAGTTCATTAAGACACCCTTTCAAGAAAACTTTGAAATATGGTGGTTTACTAGTTTTGTGCTATGATTCTAAGTTTAAATTTACGTGTCTGACTGTTTTAATGTTACTAGGATAAATCTGTATAATTTATTTTACATAATCTGTAGGTTTTAGGCTTTCCTCTGTGATCCTCTATCAGCTACTAAATTACACTTGAGATACTGATAAGAGGGATTTGTTGCAGGTAATATCAAGACTTACTCTCCAGAGAGGTCACTAACTGTGTGTAAATGAAGCCCAACAGTAGTAAAGCTCTTCTAGACATAGAGAGGAAAGCTTCATCTTTGGAGTCCAAACTTGTTTTTCGCAATGGATATGAAAACTTCAGGTCTCAAAGAGCCAAACCCAGCTCTCCTAAAAAGACATCCACCATTCCCCCCATTCATCAAAGCGAATTTCTAGGTAAAGTAAAAGATTTCTTGGGGGTAATATCGGCAGCAAACAAAAAGCTGGAGGTTGATGCGAAAAACAACCCAGAGAACTATGATATAGAAACATTAACTGGGGAGGAATCTCAGTTTATTGAGATGGATTTGATGCTTGGTGTGGCAGAGCTACAGAGTAAGGAAGCCATAGCTGCTGCTGAGTCGGCCATAGCTGGTAATCAACCTGTGATGATTCCTCTTGCGTCCACTAGTAGTGATGATGATGACGATGATGATGAAAGTGATGATGAAGAGGATTGTGAAGATGAACAACATTTTCCAGATAATAGGAAGACTGGAAAGCCTGCTGAGAAAGATTCTGCAAGTGAGTCTTCAAGAAGTAAGAAGCATTCAAGAAAGAGAACCAAAATTGTTGAGCTCTCTTAAGATACCTAGCCGGTTTGAGGCTCTGAGATACAAGATGGTGATGGAGATTGGAGTCCTCTTTTGGGGCAATGCATCTATTCTTATGTCAATCTGAGGATTCTGAGCTGTCTTTATGCATTTCATGGTTTGATAATTGATTTTGCTACATTTTTGTTTGTTTTTGTTTTGTTTTTTAGATTGTATTACCAAGATGTGATTAGATGTGCTCTTTTGTTGTTCTGTGTTGGTGCAAAAACTGGTCAACATTTTGAGCGGGTCTGATCAGTCTAAATTTTGGCTGTAATATGGAGTGTTTGAAACATTTTGTGTGGGTCTCTCTGGCTCAACTGCTTGCCAGCCAGCCAGTTCAGATTCATATTGTACTCCTATTATTCTTTCAAATAATTTTATACTAGTATAATTCACCTCACCCACTTCTCATCTCCTTATAATCTTGTGAGTTTGAGAATGGAGATGTCTTCGATGTCAAGAGTAAAGACCCTTGAACATATATATGGTTGCCACAAATTGACTAACAATGATTCTGGCACACAGGATAGAGAAACAACCGTATTAAGGTTATAAGCAAACATTTCACTACGCAAGTTAAATACTTCATTCGTTTTTAAATTAAATTCCCATTCTTATTTAGGATGTCACAAAACCAAGTTCACTCTTCCTTTTTGTACTCCTTTTAACCCTAAAATTAGCATACTTAATTGAAAGTTGATAAAAGAAAAGTGTTGTTCTGTAAAAATGTGTAAAGTTAAAGTAAGAACTTAATTTACAGATTAAGAGCCCGTTTGGTGACCCTTTTTTCGGCTTATCATCCAGCTTTTTCACCAAACACGTAATTTTTGATTTCACATGTTGAAGTTTGTAATAAGCAGAAAAGGTAAGGTTGAAATTACTTTTCTGACTGTTTTCGCTGAAGTTACTTTAGAGGGTCATTTTAGCTATTTTTCATATAAGTTTTTTTTTAATTTATTGATCACAAATATTTTAAATATAATTTTTTCATGAATCATCAAAATCAACCAATACAGCCACATCAGTCAGAATTTCAAAAATTTCAGCAGAATCAACCAATTCAGCCAATTTTAATGTTACCAAACGGGCTCTAAGAGTGTAGACCACCCACTATTGATGGCCTAGGTCGGGCCGCCGGGTAGTATCACATGGGCCCGGGACCGGCCCGAGGGTTGGACGGGTCCGGGCCGGGCCGGGCTACCCGCCCGGGTCACGGGTCGGGTCGGGTCCGGTTCGGGCCGGGCCGGTTAAATTTTTTTTATATATAATTTATATTTTATAGTTTATAGTTTTATACGAGTATTAAAAACAAACTTCAATTGCATTTATTTGAAATGAAATAGAAACTACATTTGAAAATTAAAACAAACTTTAACAGATAAACATTTTGAAAATTGTAATCAATCGGAACTTTCCGCACCTCCCGATCCTTTGGCTTTGTCACATGACTTCATATGCTTGATTGTCATTCCGAATCCGCCAGAAACCCCCATGGTACATTTTTTCTCACACCATTTGCAAATTGCGTACTACATCCCGGTCTTCGGGTCCTTCTGCTTATCAAAATTATACCGTATAATGGCATCTTGATTTTCCATCTTAACTTCTTAAGTATAAACTATAAAGTAGATATATAAATAATAAATATAATATATTGGAGAATAAGAGAATTAGAGAGTAGAGAGTTAAGAATAGGATTTAGGAAGAATTGGAGAAGAGATATGAAAAAATGTTTAAGATTAGGAGTATTTATAGGTTTTTTACCCCCACCCCCCCACCACCAGCCAACCCCCCTGGACCCCCTCTTTACCCCACCCAACGGCTATATAGCCGTTTGGGTTGTCCCCAGCCCAACCCCCAACGGCTAGTAGCCCAAACCCAAAAAAAAAAAATTAAATTAGACCCGGACCCGGGCCGGGTCACAATAATCCAACACCGAGCCCGCCCCGCCCCTTCCCACCGGTTCGGGTCCATACCCGGTCCCGGACCGCCCGACCGAGCCAGTCCCGGGCCCACACAGTACAGGGCTGGGCTGGGTCACGGGCCGGGTGGCCCGAACCGAATCCAACCCTACCACCCACACATTTAGGTCGGTCAAATCATACCAACTACTTTTGAATTCTGATATCCAAGCTGGTTTATGGAGTCATGGATGAGGAAAGCTCAAATAATGCAAATGTAATATTCCTTAGGGCATTGAAGTAAATCATCAAATCTATGAGATATCATTCAACCAAATAAATTAATGTCATATTTCTTTAATCTTAAAATCTGACATTCTTTCAACTAAACTAAACCTTACTCCTTACACTCATTAAAATAGTATTTTAATCGACTAAATATAGAAACAATATGCTTTGATATATCATTATATCCTAATAATCCTACTAAGAAAATATGTATGGATAACATAAATTTATCGTCTTTATCAATTTCTATAATTTCAAGTCAAAAAATACATCCAATACTTTTTCTTATCATTAAACACTAAACATTCAAAGCGTGAAATAACTGCTGAATTCAACTACTCTATGTCTCTATTAGTACTAACTACTAAGCTGTCCTGCCATCCATAACAGAGCAACAATTTGAAATTCTCTTTTCTTCTCAAGTATATAAATATAGAGGGAAGAAAAGATTCAAAAAATAAAACAAAAAATCCCAAAAGAACAAAGATTAGATTTCATAAGAGTACCAAAAAATACAAAGCTTACAAAAGATGGTCCAATGTGACAAATGGAAACATGTTAATTAGTGCACACACAAAAAAAAACTCAACCCATGTCCGGTCCATCCTCAATTGGCTTTTGACTTGGGAGCCTTCTTCTTCACTAAAGTTCTCCTTGGAATCGAATTCTTCATGCCAATGAAAAACAGCAGTGCCCCAAGCAATTGTAAACCCTGCCGGCCAAAACAATAAAAAGTCTAGCAGACATCTCTAAATGATAAATAAACCACTCATTGTCAGAACAGAAATTGATTTCCTCTTCCTACGGATTTATGTTTGGAAAACGGAAAAAGTTGGGGGTGAATGCTTATTTTCGAGTTTTTTACAAAAATATTACTAAAATAAAACTTGTTTACACAAATATGACTATTAGTTACTACAATGTAGTATCATAGTAACTCAAGTTTAAAAATTGAACATAAGTTATTATGATTTCATTACTACTCTAGTCACTAATCACATATTTGTAAACAGTCTTTATTTTAGTCATAAATATGTAATTATTTCATAAATAAATAGAGGTTTTACCTAAAATAGTACTAATAAAAAAGTCATGGACATACATGTGACTTAGTAACAATTAATGAATATAATTGTGTCACTTTATAGTCGATAGCGACTACATGGACATAATTGTGTTCACGTCATAGCGACTACATCATAGTAACTTTGAACACAATTATAGTCGATAAAAATTATGAAGTAACATTTGTGTCAACCACTTTTTGAGGAGTAATATAAGTGAGGGGGTTTCAAATAAATATGGATGAAAAAGAAGGAAATTTGGAAGAAAAAATATTTTGGGAAAATAAAAGTTAGCTTGCAGGTTCATTTAGTTTGTGTCCCAGATGCATGTCCTTGCAGATTTAAAAAGTGTAGTGTTAACCATATTTGTGGATTTCCTTAATAAAACCAAATTTTATAAATCACCCCCTTCACAGTTTTAGCATTATAAAGTAGTACTTTGCATTGTCCTCCCTAATTTCTTTTCACATAGTACTTTCAGGGTCCCAAATACACCCAAGTGATAGGAGGGAGATCCATTGTATTCCATTTCCATTCCACCTTGTCACATGGAAAGTGTGGTGCTGATTCGGGAACTAATGCAGGAAAAAGGATTTTAATGATACCTGTGAAAACTTGATGAACAGTTGAGCAAATTCTTTCTTGTCAGCTTCATAATTGTAAAAGTCATATATAATTGGAGTAACAACAGCTTGATGCAAAAGCTGCAAACAGAGAGAAAATGTTTTTTTAAATGATTAAACATGTAATGAAAAAATAAACATAAAGGTAAGATTAATGTGTATATACCAGAATGTAAGCTCCAAGAGAGCTTCCAAAGACAAAGAGAAGGCTTCCAAGCCCCTTCAAAAGGATAAGGCCCAAAACAATATGCTTGATCTGTGATCAACACAGTTAAGGTTAATCCGTAATAATTATAATCAAGACAACTAGAAGTAACATGTATGGCAACAGAACCCTTATTATTACCTCCACATGAGGAACTTGAAAACCAGTGTGTGTTGCTACATTCTTAGTGAACACATTGATTTTGGAGTTCAATGTTTTCCCTGCTGGGCCACCATCAGTTCCGAATTCATTAAACCTAGACACATGAGGAGATAATTACAAACGTGTACTGTGTCATTTATTTAAACTTTAAGCAATAGAAAGTGAACGAAGATTCACTATCGGTCCTGTGACTGTTTAGTCATTCTCACTTTCAGTCCCCTGACTTTCACTTTTTCACTTTCCGTGTGTGACTATGGATTGTTAACCACTTATATGGCCATAGAGTCATAGAAATGCACCAAAAGTAGAAAGAAATGAAATATAGAGAATCAAACTAGGAATGAGCAGTGGGACCAATGGTGGAATTTTCAAAATTGGAAGTCAAGAAATACGGATAGCAGTGGTTTGTATGCCATTGAGAAAACCCAGAATTATTAAGACCATAATGATCTAGATTGGCAGGTTTGGACTTTAGATCATAAATGAAATAACTAATTAGGATGGGCCAACCATTCAAAAGTGACAAAAAATCAATAGACATACACTTGTGTAAAGTTGAAAGATTGGGAGGAAAACTAGGAATGGCCTAATAGTAGCAGGACCAATGGTGGAAATTTTTCAAATTGGAAAGTCAACAAATATAACTCAGCTGGCAACAGTTTCAAATCATTGAACAAAATCACAACTATCTAAATCAACTACATTTAAAGGTTTGGACTTTGGATCATCAATGAATTGCTTCCACCTAAACAAACATTCCAGCTTGGTTTTGCCGAACTGAATTACCCAAACAAAAAATCAAACCATATAAAATTCAGTTTTAGCTTCATAATGTTTTGCCAAACCATATGAAACCAAACAAACCGAAACTGATTAGCCAAACTGACAGATCGAAAAATAAAACCCAATAAAAACCAAACCGAACTCAATCCACTCCAATCCAAACCGAACTAAGTTTGCTCAACCCATTTTAAACCAAACCAAACTGCAATCTGATAAATCAAGCAGAACCTGTAAGTACCCCTACCTTGCAGTACATTCAAAGTTCACAAGGCTTCTAAAGTCAAATATTATACATACCAAAATGTCAGTTTAAAATGTAGAAGCTTCAACTCAATCCTTAGATCTATAATCTTCATAAAGATAACAATATAATCGCATTGAATACATAATGATTACCAACACATCTGGACAACATGAGTCACAGGATACAGTGATACATTAGTTCCACTAATGTAAAGTACGGAGTATTATGAACAAAGGTGGAAAGTAATCAATACAAGTTCAAATTGTCACCATTCCCACACCATTTATATGTTCAATAGACTGACAACTTATTGAATGGTCCATGTCATTTGCATAAATTAAACTAGACAATATGATACCGATGTTAATTCCGCATACATCGGATGCACATACCAAAAAGAGCAGAAATTTCTACTCTTTCTTACTACCAATCGAATCCCAGACTTACTTTACACGCAAATCTCATCAATTTCGTGCTCTCCCCCACATTACACTGCAGGTCAAACTCATCAGATCTATACTTCAAGATTGAGAAGCGACGAAGATCGACGATTTTCAAAAGTCAACCAAACGAAACACTAAATGGAGGCAATTAAACAGCTCCGGAACGCAAATACCCAACACCCAAACAAGCATTGAAGCGTACATATAGTATGAAACAGGAATGAAAATGCAGTCTTGATGAGAAAGGAAGTTACTCTTGGTATGCGGAAAGAATGAAGGCGGAGACGAAGAGAAGCCTTCCGATGAACGACAAGAAAGCCATGGATTTAGCCTCGGACCTCGTATCTCTCCCTAAAAACGAAGGGGACAGTACAAAAAAGGTAGCAAACCGATTTGGTAAGGTGAGACTGGTTGGGATGAAAATGACGAGGAGGGTTTATTATAAAGTGTGCTCGCGCGGCAGGGAAACGCGTCCCTTAATGGGGCGACTTTGTTAGGTGGTGAGTAATTGCCTACTTCCTCCTCCTTTTATCTTTGTGTATATGTCCTCTTCCTTATTTCCTTCTTTTCTAGGGAGTATTTATTTATTGGTCTTATACTTATATCCCTTCATTGGTGGCATTTGTCCAAGGTTGAATACCGACAGCTTTGGTGTAATCATACATCATTGTCTATCTAAGATGTGAAATATTGTAAGATGTCAAATATTGAAAACTTCATTTGAGGATTATTTCATTGTTCCACATGTAATAATTTCTTACTACCTCTCTAATCCTAGAATCTTCCTGGTTTGACTCTTTTGAGTCAAACTTTATAAACTTTGACCATTAATTATTCAAAATTCACATTATGTTATGATTAAAAATTTATTTCATATACCTCATTGTAAAACATATTATTTGAATGCTAATTTATTATGAATTTTATACATATAGATATGTAGATATTTAGAGTCAAAGTTCAACTTAGAAGATCGTGAAAAATCAAAATGGGAAGATCTTTGTATTACGGAGGTAGTAAGTGAATAATACCAGTTTTAACCCATTTAAAAGTTGTAAAACTTGGAATAATTAATTTGTTGCACTGGGAAAAAAATTTAATTGCAAAAAAATTGCAAACTGATTCAAGGTTCTATACAAAAACGTGTACCTGATCAAAAAATATATTTTTATACATTTTCACATTCAAATAACAAATTTTAAAAATTGATCTAGGGTACTTTAAAATACGGAGTAGTATACATTGGATTCAACATTGCTTTTTTTTACATTTGACATGCTATTATCGGTGGCATTTTACATGCATGACCTGTGTTAAGAACTACATTTAGTACATTAATCCACCTCAGCATACCTTGGTGAATCAATCTAATGTTACCACACATCACAAATACTACAATAAGTACACATGCTTAAACAATATTGATAGAGTATATGGACTCAGACCTCATGACTCACATACTCAGCAAACTAAAATAAAGCACAGCTGACACCCACATGGTCCTCCATCAACCAGACGGTCCTTCGTCGGCCAAACACCTACCAACCCAGAATATGGTCCAGAAGCCCAGGAGCACAACATGATCCTCTGTCGTCCAGGCACTCCGTCTGTCAAAGAGACCTCGCAGAGTTAGATCTTATACTTAGTCGAAATAAAGCTTCTATCAAGCCCAATAGAGGCCTTTGTCTTTGCGCCAAGCTTAGCTTGCTCATCCTTGGGGATGCGTACAAATGATCTGCACCTAAACACCTTGAGATATTTGTATGAAGCCTTTTTGCCTGTCCAGACTTCCTTTGGGATAACGTCGTCCAAAGGAACTGATGGTGTGAGGTTGACAATGTCAACTATGGCCATTATAGCTTCTCCCCAAAATGATTTGGGTAACTTAGCATGAGAGAGCACACAACAAATTCTTTCTTCAATAGTTCTATTCATTCTTTAAGCTAGCCCGTTCAGTTGTGGTTTCTTGGACGGAGTCTTGTCTAGCCTTATGCCATATTTCTTGCAATAGACTTCAAATGGACCTCTATATTCACCTCCATTGTTAGATCGTACACATTTGATCTTCCGTCAGGTCTCACGTTCTACAAGAGCGTGGAATTCCTTGAAAGTGTCAAGTACTTGATCCTTTGATTTTGACAGGTGCAACCATATCTTCCTACAATGATCGTCAATGAAGGTCACAAAGTACAATGCACCACCAATAGATCTATCGGACATTGAGCACACATCGGTGTGTACAAGGTCGATGATGTTCTTTCTCCTCGTGGATGGAGAAGATCTTTGGAAAACAACCCTGTGTTGTTTTCCAGCTAAACAATGTGCACAAGGATCAAGTAACTTACCTTTCACGTCCGGGAGGAGTTGCTACCGAGCAAGTATGTGGAGACCCTTCTCACTAATGTGGCCAAGTTGTTTATGTCATACCTCCATGTCATCATTGGTTATATTTATCTCTCCTTTACGGAGTTTAGCTTGCATCACACACAACAATCCTTCCTTCTTCCCTCGAGCCATGGCCAAACTTCCTTTGGTGAGATTCCACTTTCCTTCACCAGAGTAGTTCATCATACTAGCATCATCTAACTTTCCAGCGAAGATAAGATTGAGTCGCATGGCCGGGGCATGCCTTACATCTTTGAGAACAGCTTGCATCTGGTGCTAGTTGTCAGGACGATCTCTCATATCCCGAAGATCTTGGTTCTATCTTGGTTTCCCATTTGAACCGTACCAAAGTCACCACTTTGGTAGGATGAGAAGAAACTTCCATGGGGAGTGACATGGAAGGAAGCGCCAGAATCGATAATTAAGGAGCTATCATCGCAAACAATGTTTAGGATATTTCCTTCTCCAACGAGATATATCAGATCTTGTTTTGAGACAACGACAGTGGTACTCTTATCTTCTTGATTCTTCATGGGTTGCCTTGGTATGGCTTGACATTACTCGTTTTCTTATCTCTCTTGAAGGATCGACACTCCATTTTCCTGTGGCCCATTCTTCCACAATAGTAGCATTTGATCTCCGAGCATGAATTCGATTTACCTCGAGATTGATATGGATCTCGACTCTTACTATGTCCATGAGTCTCATGCCTACCCCGATTCTCAATAACATTAGCCTCAGGGTGGATTGACTCACCTCGTTCCATTCTCCTTGCTTCTTCACCAAGAAGCCTATCACTGACGGTGTTCATGGTTAGCTTTCCTTCCGGAGCTGAGTTACTAAGTGTAACCACAAGTGTGTCCCAACTTTTCGGCAAGGAACTAAGGAATAGAAGGGCTTGCAACTCGTCATCAATCTTCATCTCAATTTTGGTTAATTGATTTATGAGCCCCTTGAAATTGTTCAAGTGTTCAATCATATTATGACCATCCTTATACTCCAACTTTACCAACCGTCGAACTAAATTGGCCTTATTACGAGGTGTTTTCTTTTGAATCATGGACTCAAGCTTTGTCCATAATTCATAAGCATTTGTGTAAGTAGAAACATGCTCGAAGAGAGATTTGTCGATGTGCTTACGGATCATAGGAACGGTAACACTTGAGATTTAATTTAAACGGGTTAATAGTACTACTCATACCAACAGAGATGCATCTCATTTTAAGGGAACTCATCACCTAAGAACTCCAAAGTTAAGCGTGCTTGCACGAGAGTAGTCTTGGGATGGGTGATCCCTTGAGAAGTCAGGGCGCACACGAGTGAGGACAAAGTGCGCGGAAAAAGCTAGTGGCGGTTTGTGAGGACAGTACTAGAGGTCTGGAGGGTATCTATTTGTAACTACATCGGGCCCTACGGGGTGAGGTGTTACAGGAACGGCCTTCTGATTTAGTAGCTCCGAGTGAGCATCACTCTTGCCTTCAACCTTCTCTTCGTAGATGATGGACTCATGCAAATCCTTGCAGTATAAATGATCTTCCATCATCGGCTTCCAATATGAATAGTTGTTGGCGGTAAGCTTGAACATGTCTCTATCATGAGCGACATTATCCTCCATCTTTAATTGCACGAGCTAATGACGGTCTTGGGTGAACCTGGCTCTGATACCATTGTTGGGAAAACTCTTGACTTTCGCGTTTCGTGAAGTTAAAATAGGCACTTAGGAGATGAGTATAATGTAGCAATGGGAGCATATGAGTATAATCCTCCAATATGGAGATTCTTCCACTATACAAAAGAATAATAGAATTTACAAGAATGTATGTACAAAATTGTCTCACTTTATGGTGACTCACTCAAGCTTGAGGATATGAACTTCCCAAGCTATCTATCATCTCTCTCAAAGAGGTTCTCTAACTCTCTAGCTTTCTCACTCTAGGAAGTCGATTCTCTCTCGCTAGGATGGTTAGGAATGAAGGCCTCTACTCCTATGTATATTACACCTCCATAATAAATGGTGGGAGTAGTTATTTAGAATATTCTACATATGCCTACATATTCTAGAAAACTCTAAGGAATCTCTACACCCCTACATTCTCTTCCATATGCTTCTATACTCTTTCATAAGATTTCGGAAGGTTCCACACGTCTCCAGAATATTCTAGAGGATTTCACACTATTCCACAAGCTTCTAGAGAGTTTTAGAGGGTGTTTGGAAGTGATTCTAATTCTGCTTCTTTTTTAAAGCAGAATCAGAATCAGAATCAGTTTTCAGAAGCTGGTACCCCCAGCTTCTAAAAAAATTGATTCTGAGAGTAAACTAGAGCACCAGAAGTGCTTCTGGAATTTCACCCAAACACTCCAGTTTCTGCTTCTGCTCCCTGAAGGAGCAGAATCAGTTTTGAGAATCAGATCCAAACACCCCCTTAGACTTCTATAGGATTCTCCGCAACGTTCTAGAATTTTCTATACTTCTATAGAAAACTGTAGAATTTTCTAGAACCTCTCCAATTAATTAAGCCGTAGAGTTTTATACTATGTTGCAAACTGAAAGGGAAATTATCGTAGACCCCCTTGAGGTTTGAGGCATTATCACTCACACTCCTACACTATCAAAAATATACGCTCACCCCCTCCTTAACCTTTAATGATGGTTGAATAACTTTTAATCTACATTAGGAGAAAATTACAGAAATATAATTTCATAAATTTTCACTGTATCCACTTTTAATACTATAATTTTATTTAATCACAAATCTGGTCGGGTAATTATAATTTTTTCCATACTAAACACCATTCTTTCGGAAGTCGAACCGAATAAAAATGATCAAAACTGACATCACTCTAGGTAGTTCAGTATATGCCTTTGAATTTAAAAGTAATTAAATTTATTCAACTGAAATCGAACAAAATATGCTAAAATTGACAAAAACAATTAAACAAATCAACTTAAATGAAACAAACCTACAAAAATGAAGTTTACTACTTGATTCCACCCATTTCAAAATCTACCATTTAAAATTGAATGGAAGAAAATTCCTAATTTGCACTTTAGACACTTTTTGTTATATCTGGAAATGAGATCATTATACGTAAAATAATATAACTTGTAAATTAATATTTAACAAAATATGAACATACTTACATGTAAAATATTAGTAATGACAGTATAGTTTTGGACAGGTTCTACACTCAAATTGGTTAATGCAAAATAATTAGGGTGACCGAGGACCTAT